ATGACGGAGGCAGTATGACCTCTGAAACGTTGGTAAACATCTACCATACTACACAGCGCAACAACCCAGAAGACAGAAATCTTCATATTCACCGCTGCGAAAACCTCAAATCATACATAAGAAATACTTTTTTCCAGTCTCCTGCCGTTTCATCAGGGCGATACAGATATTTCCCTCAGCGCTCTGGTGTCTTAAAACCTCTGCTTTAGAGTCTGTGTTAGTCAGGACAAAGTGGGAGTAAGAAAATAAATTTCATGCCTGTTAATTTTGTATGTGCGTAGCTGTACACCATTCCTTGCGTCTGGCATGCTAATGAGGTTCTAGTTGGACTCAGAGACATCTAGGAAACCAAAACTGTAATTAAAAGTTTTGTCATCCAGGCGCCACCACTTGATGCGAAGTGCAGTCGGTTGAAAAGAACGAAAGAAAACAGGTACTAGCACTGAAGCATGGAAACTTCTCCTTCACCGAGTAAGTGGGGGTGGTGATAACAGGAGTGCCACTTATTTCAGGAGTATCCAGCAAGAACTTTTGACATTAGCGTTCCGTGTTTTTCTCGACCATTCTATATAGTCGTCAGGGTAATAAGCCTACTATGAGAGAAGACAAGGACAGATTCCTTCAAACCATGGAAAATAATTTTATAACATGTTCAAATACATAGTACAACTTATTGATTACCTGTGATGGTAACCGACCAATCATACCAAAGTTTGTAATCTAAACCCACAACTTTGTCTCCAGAATATTTCTTTCATGTTCTAAGTCCAAATTCGGCAGTTATGTTCGACACACAAAACCATTCTTAATAAATATAATGAACGAAGTTTTGACTTCGCTAAATGTCTATGGCGATAGTCTTATATTACTATTTAAGTTTCTCTGGACTTATCCATCGTCTGTTATTGAAAAGTCTTCAAAGCCTTAAAACGTTTCAAATTCTAATCTTCCTTTGTCTTCAGGTAAAATGGGAAGTGACACCTATTCTGGTTCTACCGAATCCAACAGAATATTATCTTCTTATTATATCTAATGATGGAGAAAGTTCTATCCTTTGAAACGCTGTGGTTTTTAAGAAATTAAAATATCACAAAACGTAGTTGAAAATATAGAAATTATAGATTTAAAGTACCATACCTAAGGAAGTTCAGAAAATAAGGTCTTACCTTTGACGGAGGTGACGAGTGTCAGATGCTCAGGGTTGAGGTCTGCCAGCCTCTTGATGAGGTCTATCTGCTCCAACGTCAGCTGCACGGCGTCCAGGTACTGAGCGTCGCACGGAACATACGCCGACCAGAACTGGGAAGCAACACACAGCTTATGATATGCACTGCCTTATCAAACGACAGGCCTACTGAATAACTAAACTTGTAGGATTTGAGGCTTCCTCGGCGGTGAGTCTGTCCTGATACAGATCAAGTCAATCCACAACCTCCCACGCCATTTTTTGAATCCATTTTAATATTGCCCCTGCAACTACGCCAGTCTTCTGAGTGATCCCTTCTCTGCCGGCTTTACAATCTAAATGTTATTCGCACTACTACGCCTGTCTTCTGAGTGATCCCTTCTCTGATGGCTTTACAATCTAAATGTTATTCGCACTTATAATCTTTCACATGCGTGCTTCACGATTTGCCCATCTCATCCTCCTTAATTTTATCATCCTAATATCTGGCGAAAATTAAAAATTAGGGAGTATATTGTTTAGTCACACCATTTACTCAACAATTTATATTCAAAGATTCATTAATTCATAACAGTTCTGACAACATATTACATCATCAAATTTGTAATCTTCGGGAAATAATTTTAAATTGTTACAAACTAAATAATGTATGCAAATAAATTGGTTTGTATGAGGATTCAATAAATAATATAACAGATATATCTCAACTGGAATTCTAAAAATGAGATCTGATGTTCTCACAGGGGTGAACATGCCGACGTTCGTCTTCTGGGTTGTGACATCATGTAGAACTGTATGTATATACCAACGTTTCAGAGAAAAATACTGCCTCCATCTTCGTAGCTGAATATGGTATCTACCTAGAATTCCACGTGTCTTAACATCCCAGGGAAAAAATGTAAATATAAAGAGACATTTACAAATTACAAAGGTCATCATTAAGCAATATCCCCTTAAAAACACGTAAAAAGTACTAAACAGTCCGGTTTCTTTAAGAAAAGCTGAGGATGAGCGCTATTTGCAATGGCGAAAATAACTGAAACTAATTCTAAAACTTGTATCCTGTCCATTAAGGTTCAGATTCGTAGGCATGTGCAGACAGAATCTAGCCGTCCTTTAGGTTTCAGCTAATGGAAGTGTTTCTGTGTTTGTGGCGATGTTAGGTCTGAAGACACGCATCTCGGCGATGGGTTACAGCAGTACACTTAATTGGGAAGCTGTGGAGGAGCTTCAAGAACTATTCAATTATATCGAGGAGGCGTTTGGTCAAACAACAGACGTGTCTGCGGTCACAGAGAAAACAACGGAAGACGATTTCCTCTCACAGAAGTACTCTTTTGTCTACTTCCACTGATTAAATGTGGCGCTTACGGAATTACAATTAAACACTTTGGACGATCCTGTTTCTCGATAGTTGCCTGGCTGAACTTCACACTTTATGACATTCTGATGCTTCAGTATTACTCTTGACCAAAACTTCGTACCCTTACATAACAACAATAACAAAAATAATCACCGAGTACAATGAATTTTAACAAAGTAGACATAACAGTAGCCGAAAAGACAGAAAAGCGTAACCTATCTGATCAATTTTTCTCTTTCATGTTTACAAGGTTCAAGCCCGCGAGACCTGTTTCAAGGTTACACAAACTGTTTAAACCATCTCATTCATGGTCTGCCTAGATAACGCTTGCCTCGCGGTTCCCAGCTAAAAAATTCTTCTAGATAAGCTGTATTTTGTCATCCGTTGAACATTACTCACTTTCTGACATCAACTGAATACATTTTATAATGACTGAATATTCATAAACTCAAATGTTTTTTTTAATTACATATGTAACGTAGGAGATGATATTAACATTAATTGCGAGTAGGTAAGGATTTATCGTGGCATATGATATTAACATTAATGGCGAGTAGGTAAGGATTTATCGTGGCATGTTTTAAGCGGCCATCGTAAAATTTATCTCGCGAAACTAGAGAAAAGTACGAAAATCTGTCAAGCTATAGGGCCGAGAAACAAACAGCGTACCTTCGAATGCAAATCTAAAAGTTGCCATCATCTTAAGTAATCAGTTATAACATATTGTTGATTTTCAGTCTGACAAAAATGCGGATCTTAAAACATAAATCAGAAAACGTTTCCCCATTAATTTCTTTGTACTGGCCTGTGGTTTAGTTCTCGCATTGTGGAGACTCTGCTGTCGTGACCTACTTTAATGTATCATCTCCGGCCATACGGAATACACGAGTAGTGTTCTAAGGAAGGAAAACATAGAGTAGGCTATGCACAGACACAAATCACTGCCAGTTGCACAGTCATTTATTTCACAGTAGCGCCAACCTTATAATATTTCAGACAGTGCTGCTGCTTGAAATTTATTGACGGTTTACTACAATACATGTGTGCTTGTCAAAAAGTTATGGCTACGTGTTGATATATGGAGAAATAAATGAAAAGTAAGGGCCCTGCTACCACACCCATAAGGTCGCTTTTGTCACGTGGTCTCCTATATTCTTGATGCAGCTAGAATAAAACTCAAACATATAATTCAGGTTTCCTGTTCACAGCTTTCCCTGACTCAGTTCTCGAACTACAAACAATCTTTGGAATTTATGTAGTAACAGCTGCACTTCTTTCAAACAAGAAATTCTGGGAAAATTTCATGACGTCTACTATCCATCAAATATTGCAGCTTACATGGCAAAGCTATCAAACACTAAATTCATACAACGAAGTCCTTGTCGAGAAGCTCATAGTCGCTCAGATGGTGAAGAAATTTACCACCTTGAATGAAAACTTAATTATAGTGTATACAAGAACTAGCCACCTGTCTGTACCAAGAACATCTTAATGTCCTTACACCCTACAATTTTAAGATTAGCTTTAATATTTTCTTCCAATTTACGAAAATTTCAAAAATGGTCTCTTCTGCTCGAGCTTTCCTACTAGAGACGTGTAGAAATATATATTCTCCCCCTGCATGCTACATGCTCCAAACATCTCAATCTAATTGATTTGATCATCGGTACATACACAGACAAAAGAAACACTCGGAGGTTCCTCGTTAACTAAATCCTCATCCTTTGTTACCTCCCTTCTCACCCGCTCTCCTACGTCCAAATGTTCTCCTAAGTTTTCAAACACCTGCTATAAAAACCTTAAATTAATATCGTAACATTTAAATTACCCAGTTGTATGAGTAAAAATACTCTTAAGTCGATATTGAATTTATAGGTAGGTACGTCTTTATAAACTTTCAACGGCCAGCTATAATGCATCACTAGTTACGATTTCAGGTTCTCACGGCAGAGAATATTACTGTCTTCTGGGATGTAGCACTCTGTAGTACGGTATTCATTCACCGAAATTTCAGACGAGTTCATTACCACCGCTATCAGTGTTAATATGGAGTCAACGATCTCCTCTGAAACGTCGGTAAATATCCGCCATACTACACGGTGCTACATCCCGGAAGACAGTAATATTCATACTCGTCACCGTAAGAACCTCAGGCAGACAACTAAAATGTCTATAGTCCAAGACTGTAATCTTGAGACTTGCAAGGGATGCAGGGAGTCCGTAGCGTTAAAGGCAGACGCTATATTTCCTCCTTCACCCCACTTCCTCACCCCGCAAGTCTCAAGATTACAGTCGCGAACTGTACACATCCCAGAGAGGTTTAATAACACTATGAACATCGCAGTATAGTCGGCCTTCGGGTCAACCATCAAACCCGAGATTTCTGTAAATAAAAATTACAGTTTCTATTCACCATAAAGCGATTATTGGCCTGTGCTAATTTATTGAGACGAAGAAAGAAAGAAAGAATAAATAAAATAAATACGAGAAGGTAAAAAATACTGTAACAAATAAAAATATATAAGTAAACGCAAAAAAATAGATGTTCAAGAAGACTGCTATATACTGAAAAGTGTACCAGAGGATGAAAAACGATCTTTTTATGAAAATCGCTCTAATAATGGTATACTGATAGAAAAAGGGATGTATACAGTGAATTATGTAGAATGATTTATGAACACAGCTGGTGGACTTAGCGTTGGTTTCCAGAAAAGTGCGGACTTCATGAAGCCAAAATCTGAAAATTTTATTTTGTTCCCCTGAATTTCTTGTCATTTCATATTACGCTATCACAGCGGAGTAATTAAAATTGATATTACTCCGAGAATAAAAGCCCTAGCCTAATGTTATCTCTCCTTTCACCTTGCAGCATCTATTATGAATGACATTTTGTTGCGATTTTTTATCACTTCATCCTGGAAATTTATAAACTCGCGTCATCCCTTCACGAATGCGCGATGCTTTATTTACCACAACAGTAACCGGAAAATTACCTTTCTTAAATTTTTAAATATATATATATAAAACACCGTATCATTTTGCCTCTTGTTCTGTATGGGTATGAAACTTGGTCTTTCACGTCAAGCGAAGGACACAGGCAGCTTACGAGCACATCCGGACCTAAGGAAATTCAACGTGACAAGAAACTTGAGAAAACTGCGCACTGAGAAACTTCATAATTAGTACTGTTCACCGCGTATTGCAAGGGTGATCACGGCGGTAAGATAGGCGGAGAATGTGTTAAGTATGGGAGAGATAAGAAATACTCACAAAATTTTGGGTGGGAAGCCTGGAGGAAAGTGACCTCTCGGAATACCTGGATGCAGATGAGAATTTATGACAACCTGTTCGACTATTCGCTTGTCAATAAGGACTCTGCTCAATGGAGTTTGTAAATTAGTCTCTTCAATTTCGGCGTCAAGTGTTTTGGAGAAGTTCTTTCTTCAGATCTTTCGCTGAACTTAACTTTGAAAATGGGCCTAAAGAACAGAAATATCTCAGGAGAAAAAAAGCCTACATTGCTCTTAAAAAATCCGAATATTCTTTTTAAGTAGCACGCATCATACATTAATAACCATACAACTCAAGGATGTATACATAAGCAAAATATTTGCTATCATAACAATTCCTAATAAGGTAACTGTCGGACTTAACTTCCTATCTTCACACAATAAACATATTTGGAATTTAATACTAACGAAAAATTTTCATAACAAATTTTTGTCTTTAATCTACCTGTAAACAAATAATTCCTGCCCCCAATTCAAGACACATAAGTTACTGGCAGTCGTAATAATGACGCAATTACTATAAGAAGGGGCATACCTGTAGCTGGATAACGCACGATTATAATTACAGTCACCCATGATCATTAGCTAAAGAGTAAGGTGGGAGTGGATTGTCTTGCAAGGAGGGACACGATTCTGGTTGTTGAATTAACCCGATTTCAGCCATCCAACTGTACTTACCTGGGCACCAACCATGCCTCGTCTCAGCCTGGGTAGATCTGTGTGTGACCAGTTACTCCTCGCCCATGGATCAACTTTTTCTAGGTCAGCCGTGAAGTTGAAGCTTAGGATTTGATTATGCACAAACTTGCGGACGTTCCATGGCAAGTCATTGTGTCTGTAATCAAACAGTTCTGCTTATAATATAACTCATCACCTGTCCACAAATCTTCGAACAGTCCCCTTTGTAGATGAATCTTCTGGAATGTTGCGCAGTGGCGTATTGTAGAAATTGACAGATGTTTCAGGGGTGTTACTAAGACATTCATTATGGAGGCAGAAACAATCTCTAAAACGTCAATTTCTACGAGACTACACGGCGCAAGATCCTAGAATGCAGTCATCTTCATATTTGACGCCGTGATAACGTACAATCTTACTTATTTCTTCCGTGTCAGCTACCCGGCTTTAAGACCCAGGCCTCTCTCTCGCTCCGAGAATAATTAAAACCACACGAAAAGAATGAAATATTTGACTTTATAAATATTTCGTAATGAATTCAAAATATATACGTTAAATTATTCGTTATAGTTAACATAAAAACCTAAGCTGCTTTCACCCAAAGATTAGGCAAGTGCTGAATCATGTATCTTAGTACTTAAGTTATGATAACGGGTTATTTATTACACGCCATATGAAATGGTGATAGATGAGTATGGAGAAACGGTGGAATGATTATTAGCAGGGAAAGAAAACAGAACAACTGGGAGAAAAATCTATGCCGGTAACATTTCGGTCACAATGAACCTCATTTGAAATCACTGAATTTGAATCCGGGTCTCTGCCTGAGCAATGGCATGGCCAACAAACACGTATATGTAAATGTGTTCACGTTATGTAACGGTACATTCATACTCATCATATTATAATGTTTTCAAGAAATTCTCATATGTTTTAGGATGAAAAAGTAAAAAACATGTGGTTCACGACTGAATTAGGAAGAGAAGTAGAATTGTGTGTTGTTATTCAGCGCATGCACGATTACAATCTTGTTTACTTCCCTAAACAATAAACTCTAGATCTGAGATGCGCAAAACAACAGCTGTATCAACTGTTTTCGTAGTGTTATGAAATGTGGGAGAAAAACAACAGAAATTGCTGGTGTGTGACCAAAAAAAAAAAAAAGATAAGAAAAATATCTGAGCCTAAAAAAAATAAAACAAGTGGGAACTTGAGAAAACAAGAACCGAGTCTCTTTATAAACTGTACAGCTCACCCAAAACACGTCTGTATATCTATTGACTAACAGCATTTCATTGCCCAAATTACCGGATGGATTTCCATTAAATTAATCCAAAAAAATAAAAAATGGCCCGCGAATTTAATTTTGTTTCTGGTCGTTTCATTATTAACACTGTTCTACATAGTGCTAAAATCAAACTTTTTCAGATACCTAAAAAAATCACTCTATGGAGCACAGTTATTCATGTGCAGCTAATTAAAGAGTCGCTGGATTAGCAACGAAATTAACCGCACTTTTATGAATTTTAAAGTTTATGACCATATTCACAAGATCCTGCAGTTGACACCTATCCTGAACCAGATGATCCATTTTATACACTTATATTTTATTTCAAGATTCATGGTATTATTAACCTTCCATCTAAGCTTATATCTTCCAAATAGTCTCTTCCCTTTAGGGTTTCCAAGTGAACTTTTACTGCATGTCTCATTTCTCCCTTGGGTGCCATACGACCCTCCTATCTCGTTCTCTTTGGTTTGTTTGCCCTCCCCCTCACACGCGTCTTTCTAAAGTGTTCACCCAATTCCGAAGCCCTCTGTAACATTATGCATCATGCGAGACTTGAAGTTCTCAGGACGGTAAAGATGTCGATGTCAGTCTTCGAAGATATTCTTCTGAAATATTTGTTTCTTCCTACAAGTCAAAACGTCATTACAACCTAGAAGACCAATATCGACACCACGTAACGAGTTCTTTACAGTAGAGAGTTGTTACCTCACGCTCAAGTCTTAGCCTGGAATAATATATTTCCTTTCGACTGTCCACGACTACTTATTCAGTACATTTGAAAATTTCCTCCACATATAAGGATTGAACCCTACGTCAGGAACTTAAGATGGCGCCATACTGAGGTATCAAGGGGCCCATTTAACCCTCAAAAGTTGTCACAATAAAAATTGAATGGATTTCAGTTAATAAAATTAAATATCATTGAAATTTTTGTTTTAAACACATTTTGATGTTATGCATATCAAGAACTATGTGACGAATAAAAAACAAACTACGTTTTAAGTAAGTCTAATGTCTCTCCTACCCATTAAGTAACAGACCGGCCATTGGGATCAAAACCTGTTTTATTTACGAAGTTTAAAATTAAAATGGCTGTTTTGTGGGTTGTAGCGCTGGGTAGTCTGGTAGAAGTTTACCAGTGTTTCATGGGTCCTTGTTGCCTCCATCATCAGGGATTATAGAGACTGCAAGGACCTATGAAACGTTGGTAAACTTCTACGAGACCAAACGACGTCGTAACTCCGAAGACAGCCATCTTCGGACTCACCGCCTCCGTAAAAACCTCAAATCTTACAATGATTAAAACTGTTCCTTAACTAGAAACTGGTACGTAACGTCACCTCTCGGCATACAGACCATAAAAATACATTAGGATATTGTGTACTCGGAAACTGAGTTTTATTCGATGTTTTCGAAACCGTGCATTGCAAATTCGCTACTGTGGCACTTAATTTATTTCGGCCGTTCGATTATCTAGGGGCAGATAGTGTTTTGTCAACGGGTTTGTTAAAACAGGCCATTGTGTCCGCTTGTGGTTTCAAATTTCAATGGAAGGCAAATGTAGGTATTATTAACCCAGCTTGGTTGGGATACAATAAATTTCTGTGTGTAAATGCAATTAATTTAATGAGTACCTGGTAGATCTGTCTCACAAAATGATGTGAATTTAGCGTTGCAAAATACCACATATCCACGGTGACGACAGTATATTTATATACGTTAACTCTGTCTGTAATTTGGTGTCACTGTGCAATACATTGAATTCCAGAACATTATTCTGTAAGTTCTAAACGTGTTGCAACTATTTGGGCTTCGATAATCCTACACGTAAACACACCACCCTTCCAACGCCTCACGTTTCTTCACTTATCATTCGAACTAGGTAAAACCAGCTGAAGATGAGTCTTTCAAAGCCTGTGGTGTCTTCTTCAAGAAATTATGAACATGACACTCTGTCTGCCCTTCGTGTTCGAACTTTTGACTGCCTGTCGACTCTTTGAGATGCCTTGAAAGCCAGGAACTAAGTATCGGCTGTAGAAAAGTTGTTCTTACAAGACACATCTCGACGCGTCAAAAGATTGCACATGTGCTGGCAGCGATGTCTGACGAACCAGTCTGGCTTTAACAAAAATGGACGTCTAAGCTCTCGAGAAATTTGCATACCGATCCCGCAAGATGCAAATATCGCATAATAATAACGATGATCATGATAATATTAATAATTTGGACTAAAGATATAAAAAAAACAGGAGGCTGAAGAAAGTCCACAATGCGAGCTTCATAATTTGCACTCTTCACCAACGTATATTAGAATAATCAGATAATCACGCAGAAGGAAGATGAGAAATGCGTACACGGTTTTGGCTGGAAAGCCTGAAGAGAACGGACGATTCGGAAACACCGAGTAGAAGTACTCATATATTAAGAATAAGACAAATTAAAATTAATCTTATGAAAATAGCGTGAAAGGATATGGAATCTTCTGACTCAGAGCACGCAGGGAACAGAATGGTGACTACTTTTAAGGGTTGCATCCTGTTTTATATTGTAATAATAATTACTTTATTAAATACTTTCTACGTCATGTTTCAACCTTATCGGATCATCTTCGGGTATAAAACCTTAGATGTGAATAACGTGTTACAGATATTTTTTTTAAATATGAACCAAAGCTACAGATCACCACGTTATTACTTTGCTGATAGTTCCTTAGACAGTAAAAGCTAAAAGGCTAATAAATTAAAGTTAAAATTGCACACTGAAAGATGTCACACTTTTTAAACACTTAATAGTATAAAATCAAAATCAAAACTAATATGACTGTCCTCTGAGAAGTTGCATACACCGACGTTTCAGAGGTGCTTGCTACCTTAATCATCAGGGCGATCGCCTTGATGATACTTGCAGAATGAGAGAGAGAGAGAGACAGATAAAGAACAAAACAATAAATGTACCAACATACGGACAATAAACACGGAATGACGATCGAAAATATAAGAAAAAAATATACTAAACTTTACACAACCGTGAAATGCGCATCTGTTTAAGTTCCAGTGGGCTACTGTTCAGGCCTAGTTGTTTAAATTTACGTGGCGCTGTAAATTAAATGTAATTACGATCAGAGTATCAGTTACCGGCACACAGCGCAGTTTAGTTGCAGAAGACACTGCATCAATCTTCAGCGTCTCACTGAGGTGCTTTATTAAACTTCCTTTTTCAAGCTGAGAGAAGGACAAACGTTGCAGAGAGACTGAAGGGAGAAATGAAGTAGTGAAAAATGGGCTTGATTGTACGAGTTGAATGCCAATCTGACACTACTACTTGTGATGCGAAGGATCCTTCACGGAACCATAAACACGGCTGCGTTCAAAACTGCAACTTTTCTGAAAGCATCACTGCATTCCATCGCTTTCACGGGTGGGAAGTGGAAACGTTGAAATGAGAAATGGAAACAATTGTATGAAGAGGAGTTACACCTTATTGTCCTTTCTTTATAAGTTCTTGAACGAAGTGCAGAAAATTAAAGATGGCGTGCATATGAAGGCGACTGCCATTATGATGGAGGCAGTAAGCATCTTTGATACGCCAGTAAATTTCCAGTCAACACGGCATAATATCCCATAAGAAGAATCAACTTCAGTAACTCAGTTTCTAAATGATATCTTGTATTAAACAAAGGTCATGAGCTCTAATGTCCAATCCTATTGGAATATGAACACGGGTGAAGAGTAGTAAGAATTTTTAATATGTTCTAACATCTTACTAGTGACTGTCGTAGAGAAGCTGAGGAAAACCATAGTCTGGACAGCCGGTAAACCAGAAGACTCGTTGAGGACAAATCTAGAATACAGAAGCAGCAAGGACCT